GATCTAGCTGTTACTGCTGCTTAAAACATGAAAATACCACCTCCCCGGTCTGACTCCTGTCCCCTTTGGCTTTTCCTGACCACACCGGGAGCAAGGCCGTGTGAAAGCTGCCCCCACTCACCACCCAGGAGAACCAGTAGGTACAGAGACACTCCCTGGCCAACACAGTGAACAGGACAGAGATGGAACTCTCAGACTTCTGGGATCTGGAAAATTCATGTACTGTTACAAGCAGTCTCTGCTCCCTCAGATGGAAACTTGGGTGGGCCTCTGGGAAAGCCCATCCTCTGCTCTGTGAAGCCATGGGGCTCAGTGCAAATACACGGGCAAGGGCCCACCCCTCGCTCTTGGGGGAGATCTGAACACAGTCTCACAGGAGGAAGTGCAGAGTCCTGTGTAAGAGAAAAAGGGAGTATCTTTCAAGATTAAAAAAAAAAAAAAACTTTGGTCATACCATGTAACACTTTAAAAGAAGGGAGATGGATGGTTTTTTTCTTTTTTCAGGGCTGTGTCTCCCAGACATTGGTGCTCTTTGGAGAGAAATGTTACTTCATTTTGTGCAACTTCAGGCTAATTGGCGTTCCCAGAACTGTTTGTTCTCCCAGAACTCTGAGCAGCAGTTTTCAGGCCCCATGGAGCTGGAGTTAAGAAGGGACTGGCAGGCAAGCAGGTGGGCAGACTAAGGACCGGGACTTGACTGCCCCTTTGGCTCTAATGGACCCCACCGTGGGCTGGGTGTGACATCTTCTGGAGAATGCTGCAGAGGGCAAGACTGGCCACTGTCTAGAGTAGAATTGCCAGTGTGGGGCTGGGGAGGTGGGCCTTAGACAGAGGGACAAGAAAAAACCTCCCTGGGAGTTTGGTCTCAGACACACAGTGAGGCCTGAGCATCCCCAGTACATGTGGGTCGAGGAGGGAGCTAAGCCGGCCCAGCCATAGAGGCCCCTGGATTGGGGAATGGGGGTTCTGCCAACAACCACATCCAACAGTAGTCAGATGGGCTACTTGCTTCTCTTCCATTATACCCAGCCTTTCGGGGAAGTCTCCTTCACTTCTCACTGGTGTGATCTGTGCTGTGAGGGACTTAGGGGAGGGCCTAAGCTGTCCTTGGGCCAGAGGATCAAAGGGAGTAGGGTCCCCTCCCTGGAGGTTGGGGTAAAAATGGCAGAGGGAACCAACAGCCAAGGACAGCTGGGCCCGGCAGACAGCATCCTCCAGAGGGCAGCACTGTGGTGGCCTGACAAAGGTGGGTGGACCAGAAGGCTGTTGACCACCTTTGTGAAACCACCACAGGGAGACCTCTTCCAAACAACCAGGGAGAGTTCTGAAAGGGTCTTTTCCACAGATCAAGCTTCTGGGGATTTTAATACTGTAAGTTGAGTCTCTGTGTGGAAAACATTTTTTTAAGGGAAAAATATAAACTTTGTCTTGACATTTTCTCTCTCCTTTCTTGAAACAACCAATACAGTGAGGCTGCAGCACTCCTACTGGCTAAAGCCAATATCGTGTTCAAAGCCTAGCTGGCTGCTGGGAGGAGCAAAAGAGGGGGGCTAGTGGCTGGCTCACCAGATTGCCCCCTCCAGCCTCTATTTCACCGGACAGTTCTCAGCAGTCCAGACTTGATTCTATCAGGTGAGCCACCTGGAGCCTCTGGAGTGTTCACCAATATTCCCAGTTCTCTTCTCCTTCTGAGCACATGAAAGGGCCATACTTCCCTGCCTTGGTGAAGTTAAATGTGGCCGTGTCACCTTTTGGGCCAAGAAAATATGAGAAGCAACATGTGTCACATCTGGCTGGAAGCATTTGAGTAATGATTCCTGCAAGCTTTCCTTTTCTGTTGCAGCAAACCTGAAAACCTGTGTTTGGGTAACAATGTCCTAAAATGGCAGATTCCTCATCATCTTGGGTCCCTGAGTGGCTACAATGCGCAGAGCACCCCCTAAGAAGGCCATGGTGGACATGTAGCATGAACAAGAAATAACCCTCAGTCAGCCACTGAAGTTTGGGGCTTGTTTGTTACCAGAGCATAACGTGGTCCACCCTGACGGGTACACAGATTTGCTTAGCAGAATCCATAGTACCTTAACCTTTCCCCAGGTAATTAGCCAGTGACAGGGTAAGAAACTTAACGACCTCAAAACTGGGAACTCTCCACTCCCCGTTCTCTCACGAGAGCTCATAATGGCCACAATTCACTGGGAACTTGTTCCAGGCAACTCTGGATCTGTTTGGCAGTAAGTAACTCCCACGTTCCCAGAATTCTACTGGGCTGGGTAGCTCTATAAAAATCTGTCTCCCCAGAGGCTATTTCAGCGTTGATACTTGTTCAGAAACATTCAGCCAAACAAATGTTCATTAAAAAGCTCACCAACTAACCACCCAGGCAAAACTGGAGCAGCATTTTGAAGCTGACTCTCAGGAACCCACTCCGAATGAAAGGAAGGACATTCCTCCGAAGGCGGCACCTTGTTCCTCAGTAACACGGGCTGCGTGTCTGCTGTGGACTCCCATGGTTACCCAACACAGAGATCTCGCCTCCAGGATTCTCGTGATCCTCACTGTTACCATGGCCACAACACACGGTTTGAACAAACAACATTTCTGACCTCATCTGGTTCTCACATTTGAAAAGTAAGCCATTTGGAGAACAAATTCATTTTGAAAGGTTAAAATCAACCAACGAATTAAGCATTTTGAGTACTGTGATCAAATGAATACAAGCCACAACCTAGGAACCTCATTCTCCACCCATAGGAAAATGAATGACTGCCTAAAAAATCATTTTGACAACTACTGAAATTTCAATATAGAATATATTTTAAATAATAGTATTCTATCAATGATAAAGTTCCTGATTGTGATAATGGCATCATGGATAAGAGAATGTCCTCATTCTTAGGAAATATACACTGAGGTATGTAGGGGTGAAGGGTCATGACGCTTACAACTAACTCAAACTGTTAGTAAGAAATGATAATATGGAGGGAGAGAGAAAACAAATATAGTAAAATGTTAACAACTGGGAAACCTAGGTAAATGGCCAAAGTGTTCATTCTACTATTCTCGCAACTCTTCTGTAGATTTGAGATTTTTCAAAATAAAAAGTTTAAAAAGAATCATGCATTACTGACTGGTATATATAAAATAGATAAACAAGTTTATACTGTATAGCACAGGGAAATATATTCAATATCTTGTAGCTCATGGTGAAAAAGAATATGAAAATGAATATACGTATATTTATGTATGACTGAAGAACTGTGCTGTACACCAGACACAACATTGTAAACTGACTATACCTCAATTCAAAAAAGAATCATTGCTCAACACTGGAATTTGACACAACATTGTAAAATGACTATAACTCAATAAAAAAAAGTTTAGAAAAAATCATGCATGTTCCAGATTAGTGACTTTCAAACTTTTAAAACAATAAGCCACAATAAAATATAAATTGGATGCAGCAATCCAGACACACACATAATCTGAACAAATGCATACAAATTAAATAAAAAGTTTCACAAAAGAGTACTTACTCTTATATTACATGTGATGCTCTGTGACTTCCTGTTCAATCTTGTTTTTTTAAATGCCGGTTGTGACCCATTAAATGAGTTGATGATGACTCACTAATGGTCACAACCCATTTGAACATTCCTGCCCTCAGTGGTGCTTTCTGCAGCATTTCTAATATTTAGTATTACCTAGAGACATAGCAGAAGCCTTAAAGACCTGACAGCTCAGCACATCCTGAATCCATGTGGGCTTTGAAAACCCACCTCTTCAAATACAGAGAGAGGACATTTAAGATTAGAGACTTTCAGAATATTGACAAAAGCAGTCATCATTACATCTCTGTGGAGGACAGCTTGAGCACCTACTTAGCGAATACAAGAGCCTCTGCTCTGGCATTCAGGCCTGGGGGCTTACAGTTGGCCACCTCTCACCCCGGGAAATCTCTCAGCCCCTCTTCGGGGGCTGCCTCCTTTCCTCTTGGCCCGTCAGTCAGCCCCGAAGCAGCCCATAATAATTTCCACACCCAATGGGATTCTCCAAGCCAGAGACTCCCTGCCCCGCTAACACAGCATCTCTGTGTCTTTCGGACACTCTTCCCACAAAACACTAAGAAAAGAGGATTTTGTGGCCTCCATGGGAAAGTCACAATCCATGTTTGCGTATAAAAGACTCTGGAAAGTCCTGCAGAAAAAAACCTGTTTAACTTTGTTTTTTTAATCTTAGGATTTCACAAATTTATTTGGCCACAAACACTCCTCTTCTTTTTTTCCCCTATTCTGCCTTAAAAGTCCTTTGCAGCTAAGGCCACCCCTGGGAATAACTGTGGAGTAAATGAAATTAATCTTTGTTTTAAACGCCTCCTAACACATCTCAGACGGCAGGAACCACTGCCACCCCCGTGGGTCCAAGTCCTTCTCCCATCACACTTGCCTCCTGTCCTATCCACTTTCTGGACCCTGGTATCCCCAGGCCCCTGGGGGAGGGGGATGAGGATTGTAGTAGAAAAAAAAGGGATTGGGCATTTAATGGTTGCCCCCCCCCGGAGAACTTGCACAGTTTTTATTACTTCTTTGCCTATGGATTAACTCTAATTCAGGCATGCAGGCCGAGTTTCCAGGAAGGGGTTGTGGGGGGTGGGGGGTGGAAGGATACGGGTGGAGCCCTGTAGCCCTAGAAACTTCCAATCCCTAGTCTTCTCACCAGAGGGGGCATGTTCATTCTTGCTTCTCTTTTCCAATTAATGCCCATGTGACAGGAGCAAAGTCCATAGCCTCCCCCCTCTCTCACATGGCATTTCCCAGGACCATCTCCGGAGGCAAACTGTTCCTTCCCCTCTCGCCTGGAATGTTCGCCCCCGTCCCCATCCTATTCCCCTCCCCCACACCCAACACCTTCAAGCCCAGTTAACTAAACTCTCCCTTCCTCATTTCCGCCCCCACCATGGCCAAGGCAGTCGCAGTGTGGGCCACCCCAGTGCGGAAGGGTCAGTCCATCTGAAGGACAAAAACGTGCTGAGCCAGGCTGAGCAGAAGACCAGAGCCCAGGAGAAACGGGGT